TAGAAGAAAACATCATTTACATCATGAAAGACAAGAAGATAAACATTCAAGAAACTGAATGAATTCCAAACAGGATGGGCCCAAACGAAAATCACCAAGACATATCACAATCAAACTCTCTAAAATCAAACACAAGGAATAAGCCTGAGAACAGCTCAGGAAAAACAAAAAAGTTACTTACAAAGGAGAATCAATAAGATCAAGTTCTGATACTCTACAGAAATCAGAAATCATTGAAGTTGAAGGCAAAGGGAAGATTTATACAAAACTCTAAAAGAAAAAACAAAAGGCTATCAAAGATCAGAATCATATAGCCAGCAAAACTGTCCCTCAAATATGATGATAAAATTGCATTTGTGGATAAACTGAAATAAAAGGAATTTGTAGTATTGTTGTTGTTGTTGTTAGGTGCCTTTGAGATGGTACCGATTCAACCAGAAGGTCCATGGTTGGAGTGTACCAGCTGCTCCATGGGAGAAAGATGAAGCTTTCTGCTATCGAAAAGATTTTGAAAGTCTCAGAAATCCTGCACAATGTCACTGTGAGTTAGAACCAACTTGAAGGCACTTAACAATAGAATTAACAATGGATAAAACATTAAGCAATGCAGTACACATTAAAATAAGATGAAAGAAAGACACAGAGTCACTGTGTCTTAAGTAATTGGTCAACATTCAACCATTTCAGGAGATAGTATGTCATCAAGAAACAACCAGTATTGAAGAACAAAATTTAGACTGTACTACAATAATTGACAAAAATAAGGCTCCAGGAATTGATGGAACAGCAATTGAGATTTTCAACAAATAGATGCCAACACTGGATTCACTCCCTCATCTATGCAAAATAAAGTGGAAGACACCTACCTTCCTTTACAACTAATTGGATTATAGCCATATTTACTACCATTCAAAAGAAATGAGATCCAACAGAATGTGGAAATTGTCAAACAATACCTTTATGATTATAGTAAAATTAGTAGGAAAAAACAAAACAAAACTGTTATTAATAAGTAAAATGTTTCTGAAGCTAATTCAAAAGCAGTTTCAGCAATACTTTGATAAGGAAATGTCAGAAATTCAAGGTGGATTCAGAAGAGGTTATGGAACAAGGAATATCATTGTTGAGGTAAGATAGATTTGGGTTGAAAAAGATAATGCAGGAAATGTTTGTTGTTTTTCTTAGGTGCTGTTGAGTCAGTTCTAACTCATAGTAATATTATGCACAGCAGAATGAAGTACTGTCCAGTTCTGTGCCGTCCTCACAATTGTTGTTATGCTTAAATCCACTGTTGATGCCAGTTTGTCAATCCATCTCAGTGAGGGTATTCTTTGTTTTTCCTCACCCATCACTTTACCCAGTAAATCTTTTTCTAGGGACTAGTTCCTTCTGACAACATGCACAAAGTACAAGAGAGGAACGCTCCTCATTCATTTCTTCCAACACACATTTGTTTGTTCTTCTGGCGGTCCATGATACTTTCAATGTTCTTCATCAACATTATAATTCATACTCATTGATTCTTCTTGGTGTTCCTTATTCACTTCCAGCTTTCACAAGCATTGTAGTTGTAATTGTTAAGTGCCATCACAATGGTTCTGGCTTATAGTGATCCTGTTTAGGGTTTCCAAGGAGAGTGGGTTTGAACTGTGATTTAGCAGTCCAGTGCTTAGCCTACAGTGCTAGACAGGACTCCAAATGCATTTGAGTAGATTAAAATATGGTTTAAGTCAGGTACATCTTAGTCCTCAAAGTGACACTTTAGCTCTTTTACACTTTAAATAAGTATTTTATATCAGATTTGCTTAATGGAATATGTCATTTGATTTCTTGACGGCTGCTTCCATGAGCATTGATTGTAGAGTAAAGAAAATTAAAGACTTTGACAACTTCAATCTTTTCTCCATTTTTCATGATTTTATTTATTGGTTCAGTTGTGAGAATTTTTATTTTCTTTACATTAAGATGCAATCCATATGGAATTGGATTCTCATCTTTGATCTTCATCACTAAATATTTCAAGTCCTCTTCACTTCCAGCAAGTATAGTTGTATCATCTGTATGATTGTTAATGACTCTTCCTCCAATCTTGATGCCACATTCTACTTCACCTAATCTAGATTCTCAAATTGTTTACTCAGTATACAGATTGAATAAGTGTAATAAAAGAATACAACCCTGGCATACAATTTTCCTTATTTGAATCATTCAGTATCCCCTTGTTCTGTTCAAACAACTGACTTTTTTTCTATATACAGGTTTCTCATTAGCATAATGAAATGTTCTGAAATTCCAATCCTTATCAATGTTATTAGTTTGTGATGATACACACAGCTGAATAGCTTTGCATAGACAATAAAGCACCAGTCAACACCTTTCTGGTACTATTTGCTTTCAGCTAAGATCCATGTGATGTCAGCAATGTTATCATCCATTTCATGTCCTATTGTGAACTGACTTGTGCTTCTGTCAATGTACTGCTGCAACTGGTTTTGAATAATCTTCAGCAAAATTTTTCTTGCATGTTATATAGATGATATTTTTTTCTTGATTTCTGCCTTCTGTTGGGTCACCTGTCTTTGGAATGGGCACAAAGATGGATCTGTTTCAATTAGATGGTCTGATAGCTGCCTTCCAAATTTCTTGGCATAGCAGAGTGATGCGTCAGTTGGTTTAAACATTTTACTTGTATTCTGTCAATTTCTAGAGACTTGTTTAACATCAATGCCTTCAGTGCAGCTTTGATTTCTTCCTTTAATACCATCAGTTCTAGATCCTATTTTATATGCCTTGAAATACTTGTAAATCAGTCAATTCTTTTTGGCACAGTAACTATTACTATCATACACAAATAAAATGTTGCTGAAGATAATTTAAACACATTTTAGCAGTACCTGGCAATGAACTGCCAGAAATTCAAGCTGGATTCACTTTGTATAGAAGTGCATATGAGGCTATTGAAAATACCTTGGCTTGGGTCAGGTGCACCTTAGTCCTCAAACTGTATCTTTGCTTTTGAACACTTTTAAAAGGTCTTATGCAGCTCATTTGCCTAATATATTAACCTACTTGATTTCTTTACTGCTTCTTCCACAAGTGTTGATTGTAAATCCAAGCAAAATGAAGTCCTTAGTAACATTAATTTTCTCTCCTTTTAACATGATGCTACTTATTGGTTTAGTTGTAACAATTTTTGTTTGTTTTCTTTACACTGAGCTTCAACCCATACAGAAAGTTGTGATACATAAACTTAATCAGTAATTATTTTAAACTTTCTTCATTTTCGGCAATTAAGGTTGCATCATCTGTATATTGCAGGTTGTTAATGAGTCTTCCTCCAATTCTGATGTCACATTCTTTTTTCATATAATCCAGCTTCTCACATTATTTGCTCAGCATACAGACTGAATAAGTATGGTGAAAAAATACAACTGGCACATACCTTTTCTGCTTTTAATCCACTCATTACCCGCTTATTCATGGAGGCTCAATATACAAAAAAAGAAAATTCTGCCCAGCATATTACTCTATAATCATTTGTAGATAATACTATTGTGATTCATGGCATGTTAACTGACTAATTTTGGGTATCACAACACCAAACCTTTCTTCCTAGTATGTCTTATTTGTAAACTTCTCTGTTATTGTTAAGTGCCATTGACTCAGATCCAACCCCCAGCAACCTGGTATAGGGATTCCAATGAGCAGCTGGTGGGTTTGAACAGCTGATCTTTTGGGTCAAACCAACATTGTGGTCCATTGCTTATTCTATAGCACCACACTAGGACTCCATCATCATCAAAATACCATGTAAAACGCCATAGACATATGGAAGACGTTGCACATAAATGCAGTTTATGGAAATCAAACCCAAATCTCTACCATGGAAGATAAGAATTCTACCATTGAATCACTGCTTCCTCTAATACAAAATGTTATTTAATAAAACAGAACAGCATATTTGGATGAAATAATGAATGAATTTATTAGATTATATCCATTTCTTTTGTGTGTTTGTCTAGTTTGTGTATAAGATACATTGACAGCAATTCTATTAATTCAGCCACTAATTCCTTAACATCAATACATTCATTCAATATAATTAAATTTCATTCATTTATTTTTTACCTCATTCAATTAACAAATTCTGTTAACTAAGACAATGGAATCATTGAATTCAACATTTGCTAGAGGTAGTTTTTGATTAGTACTTGGTGACTAAGGAGACAATTTAGCAAGTTAATCTAAAAAATTAGATTGTTGGTCTAATTTTTAGCAAGTTAATCTAAAACAATTAGATCCACAAGTTGGTCTATAACAAGAAGACTGGTAGCTCCTAGAAAGAAAGTAGGTTGGGTAGCAGAATCCAGATCCATACCCCAAAGAAGGGAAACCACAGGTGCCATAATTCAGTGGTCTGAAGCTAAGGGATCTGCAGCTCTGTGAATAGCAACTTCTGGATCCATAGCCCAGGGAGCAGCTGCTTCTGGAGCCAAAGCCCAAAGACCCAGCATAAGCATTCTGGCAGGGACTGCAGAGTGTGGAGGGTCTCGGGCGGTAGCAGGAAGCCTGGATGGGTTTGGGCACCACGCAGAAGGTCTGGCAGCTCTTGGGCTCACAACAGGTCTCCTGACAGCCCCTGTAGAGAGAGGAGCCCAGCTGGCAGATGCTGGGAGAGGAGAGACCAGTGCTGTAGACCAGGTTGCTGGGGTAGGATGAGCCACAGGAGGATCCTAGGTAGCGCTGGCAGCTGCCCAGAGACTGGGAGGAGAAGTTTCCAGAGTAGCAGTTGTAGGGCATGTTAACACAAGTGGTGGATTCAGCTGACTTACTGTGAGAAGATTCTGAGTTCTAATGTTACCTTCTAAACTGCACACTTATATACTCTCAGTTGTGGGTGTGGAACCTTACAGAGTCATCTTTTCCAGACGTGGACTCCCTCATCTCGATGCCATTGAAAAATATTCTCTGTAATTGTAGATGAATAATCTTCTCCATTCACATTTATGGGTGATTTTATTGTGTTGTTATGACATTAAGACAATGAATGACTCCAATGTCAGAAATGCTATGATTATCAACTATTAATTTCATCCCATAATTGCCAAGAAAGCCCCTACCCTCCTCCCTTATCCATTTGCCTATTAGCTGGGGATGCTTATGCGTAAGGAAGGGGATTGAAATGAAGTCACCTATTTTTATAAGATTAGGGACGCAACATGTTCTTGTTGAGGGACCTAGAGCCTGATCCTCTTTGCTAACATTGATTTTCAATCCCTAAAATTATTTTCTACACATTATACTTTAATATACTTTCAATGGAACAAGGGGAAAAAATAATAACTAACTGAATGTGAAACATGGAGGAGCTAAGAGAGAAACCTAGACCAGTTATAGAATCAATATAAATTAAGATGACTATTTTGAAACTGTGAGAGTGAAGATCAGCTTGCACAAATGTCAAATGTTTTAATGTCAAGCATTCTTGAAACAAGGAGAAGAAACCAGTGACCCTATTGATAGTCTATTGGGTTTACCATATATGAGTCTTTCAGATAAATATGGTTTTGAAATATACATATTTTATGAATTTACTTAGTGACCCTGAACAGGACTTCTAAGAATGCATATCTTTCCAGGAGTTGAAAGCCTCATCTTTCTTCAGTGGAGTTGCTTGTAGGCTTGAATCTCCAACTTGTGGTTAACAGTCCAGTGTTTATCCTGCAGTACCAAGGGAATATTCATATGTGTCTCTGTGTGTTTGTAATCCTTTCATGACTTGCAGGATAAGCACTAGACTGTTAATCACATGGTTGGTGGTTCAAACCTGCCAGTCTCTCCTTGGGAAACCCATTACAGGGTTGTTATGAGTCAGAACTGTCTCAATGATTCTTAACAACAGCAATATATATGTGCATGAAACCTTTTTACTATTTGTTCAACATTCTGCTCTCCTGAAACAGCTCTGGTAGGAACAGCTTTCTGGACATTTTTGGAGTCATGCTCTCTCTTATGTTTTTGTCTCTTATTTTTAAATATCTTTCATTCCTAAAACATTTCTATAAAATTATCTATATGCCTTCCTTTTAATGTCATCTCCATATCAGGAAAGCCAAATATAAAGTAATTGATAAAGCATTTTCTTTAGTTGAAAGAGTATAATCTTAGAGAGAAATTAGAAATTTTGGATGGGAATAAATATAATTGGAATTTAATTGAAGTATATTGTATTTATTGTATGCCACACTGATAGAAGATTTTTAGGAGGCAATAAGATGGTGTGGTGCTGTGTGTTAATGCACCAGACTGAAAAGCCATTTGAACTGCAAGGTTGGTAGTTTAAACTCACCAGCTGCTCCTCGGAAACCCTACACAGGTCATTATGGGTCGGAACCAATTCGACGGCACTTCACAACAATACTGATAAAGTCTTACATTATATAATTCTAGACTCAAACAGGAGTAAACTAAGAATGCACACTAAATAGTCTGGAGAAATTGCTAATGTGATTTCTTATGAAACCAATAATCACTTTAAAAGGGAAAAAATGTAGTGAAACTGCAGTTTTATTAATTCTTTCCTCCTCCCAACAAAGTGAAAAAAAAAAAGAAAAAAAAGAAAAGAGAGAGAAAAAAAGATAGAATATAGATCAAATAGCAACAAAAGTGCACATAGATGCCATTCTACATATCATTGCTCTTGTTAGATACCATTGAATTAGTTCTAACTCAGCCATTCCATGTATAACAGAATGAAAGGCTGCCTTGCCTCTTCGTGAACCATCCTCAGAATTTTCCTTTATTTGGGTTCATTTTTGCAGCCACTGTGCCAACTCATCCCATTCAGGATCGTTGTGTTTCAATGACTCTGATAATATATGTCCAGAGTATGTGAGACAAAGGCTCACCATCCTTCCTTCCAAGGAGCATTCAAGTTCTACTTTTTTCTCCCATGACAGACTTTTCTTCCTTCTGGAGGTCCATGGTAATCACATTTTTGTCAACACCATATTTCAAATTCATCAGTTCTTCCATCTTCCTCATTCATTGTCCACCTTTCACATGCATCTGGAGCAATGGAAAATACCATACTTGGATGAGGTGCACCTTGTTATTATTGTTGTATGCCATAAACATGGTTCCAACTTATACCGGCCCTACATGGGGTTTCCGAAAGCGACTGAACTAACAACCTTGCAGTTAGAAGTCCAGTGCTTATCTTACAGTGTCACATCAGGGCTTAGGTATACCTCAGTCCTCAAACCAAAATATAGCAATAACAAAAGTAATATAAAAGGGCCAATTTAAAGAAAAATTTAGAACATCATATTGAGCTGAAAATTAAAATAATTTGATTTAAATTTTATTTATTGTTTTTCGAGCCTGAAGAAACAGAAAAGGGAAAAATAAAATCAGTCAAAAGAAACCAACAACAAAAATTCTGGTTATGCTTTCTTAATCATAGACAAAGTTGATATTATGATAGAAGTGTTTTAGAAATAAAGCAAGACTTCATAAAATGATCACTTTCTCAGTTGGCCAAAATATCACAGCAGTGGTAGTCTTGAAATTAGCAGGTAAGAGTAAGAGACAAAAAATCAGTAAGGTGTAGAAGTCTTGAACAACACAATTAACAAGATTGACCAAAACAACATAAAGGAATCATAGTACCCAACAATTTCAAGATAGGTATTACATACAAAAGTTTACTAAAATAAAAAACTTGCTGGTCATAAAGCAAGTCAAAATAAGTTTTAAACTACTGAAATTATCCATAATAAGTGTTCACCACAGTATAAATAAGTCATAAATCTATAATAAAAAATTACTAGAAAAGACTTCACTATTAAAATAGTTTTAATGGTGCAACTCAAGAGTGATTAAATGCTAAGTAGGAAGTAGAACCCATTCTCAGGAATGACAGAAATGTTCATGAGTTTGTCCTCAGCAAGTATGCCTTCCATCACAAGGATTTTTCTCTGAATCAATCCAGAGGTTTGGTTGTTGCAAATGTTTTTTAAAAAAATAATTTTTCTTGTTTAAATCTTTAAAGGTGCATTCATAGTAAGATACATGCTATGAATAGCTAATGCTATCCTGCCAGTTTTAGCAGTTGTTCTCCTCGGTGTTGTCCACCAAAGGTGATGTTTGTAAATCCGAGTCACTTGACAATAAACAAATAAATAAAAATTAAGGGATACTCCATTAAAAACGCTGGGTTCTGGTCCATTTTGGAGAGACAGGGAAGCGGGGAGCTCCTGTGATCATGAGGCAGAGAAACAAGGAGCCGCGGAGTTTGAGGAACCAGCAGCTCAAGTTTCAGCTGCAACAGCCGCAGCGGCCAAAGTTGGGGCGATGGGGGGCCAAGCACACAGACTGGGTGGGGGTCCTGGTCTTTGGTTTCTTGACTGAGTCCTGTTTCGACAGCGATCATGTCTCGGCCTGTCAGAAATAGTAAGGCCTTTGATTATTCACAGTGTCAGGAATCTGATGATGCTGATGGCGATTATGGAAGAGATTCTGGTCATACACCTAAGAAAATATGATCATCTCCTCGAGAAGCTAAAAAGAAGAGGCGGTCTGGAAAGAATTCACAGGAAGACAGTGAGGACTTAGAAGAAAAAGATGTGAAGACCAAGAAGGATGACACTCACTCAGCAGATGACATTGAAGATGAAAAAGATCATAAAAATGTATGCCAGCAATGACAGGCAGCTTCTAAAGCAGCTTCTAAGCAGAGAGAAATGCTTATGGAAGATGTGGGCAGTGAGGAAGAACAAGAAGAGGAGGACGAGGCACCATTCCAAGAAGAAGATTCTGGCAGTGATGAAGACTTCCTAATGGAAGACAATGATGACAGTGACTATGGCAGTTCAAAAAGAATAAACAAAATGATGGTTAAGAAATCCAAATCTGAGCCCAAAGAAAAGAAAATGCCCAAACCCAAGCTAAAGGCAACAGTGACGCCAAGTCCAGTGAAAGGCAAAGGGAAAGTGGGTCGTCCCACAGCTTCAAAGGCATCAAAGGAAAATACTCCTTTCCCCAAAGTAGATGATGGGGAACCAGAAAGCCCTCCAGAAACGAAAACATCTGCCAGCCCTCACCAGAAAGATCTGGGGATGAAGGGTCTAAAGATGAAGCCCAGTCTTGTGATGAATAAAGTGAAGATGGTTTGGGGAGAGATTTTCTTTTAACAAAGAAAGAGGAGAACTTCCTTAAGATAGAACATGGTTTGGTCACA